ATACCCAGGAGCAGAGAAGAAGATTTTAAAAGAATTTATGCATTTTCACTATATAATCAATAGAGCCCCGCCCTAACATCAGAACCCTTGACCCAGGTGCCATGAAATTCACAATTTTGGAAAAGGCAACCATGCTTGTCATAACTATGCACTAAGTTAGTCTATTTGATACTCAGGAGCAGAGAAGAAGATTTTCAAAGAATTAATGCAATTTTACTATATAATCAATAGAGCCCCACCCTAACACCTGACCCCAGGGCCATGAAATTCACAATTTCTGAAAATGCAGGCATGCTCACAATAACTTTGTTCTTAGTTAATTTATTTAATACCCAGGAGCAGAGAAGATTTTTAATGAATTAATGAATTTTCATATATAATCAAGAGTGTCCCGCCCTAACACCAGAACCCCTGACCCTGGGGCCATGAAATTCACAATTTTGGAAGAGGCACTCTTGCTCTTCATAATTATGTACTTAGTTACTTTATTTAATACCCAGGAATAGAGAAGAAGATTTTCAAAGAATTAATGCATTTTCACTATATACATGTAATCAATAAAGCCCTGCCCTAACACCAGAACCCCTCAGGCTCTGACCCTGGAGCCATGAAATTCCCAATTTCTGAGGAGGCAGCCATGTTCATCATTACTATGTACTTAGTTTATTTAAAACCCAGGAGTAGAGAAGATTTTTAAAGAATTAATGCATTTTCACTATATAATCAATAGAGCCCCGCCCTAGCACCAGAACCCGACCCTGGAGCCATGAAATTCACAAATTTGGAAGAGGCACCCTTACTCATCATAACTATGCTCTTAGTTACTTTATTTAATACCCACCAGCAGAGAAGAAGATTTTCAAAGAATTAATGCATTTTCACTATATAGTCAATAGAGCTCCACCCTAACACAAGAACCCCTGCCCCTGGGGCCATGAAATTCACAATCTTGGAAGAGGCAGTCTTGCTCATCATAACTATGTACTTTGTTACTTTATTTAATACCCAGGAGCAGAGAAAAGTATTTTCAAAGAAATAATGCATTTTCACTATATAATCAATAGAGCCCCTGCCCTAACACCAGAACCCCTGACCCTGGAGCCATGAAATCCACAACTTTGGAAGAGACACTCTTGCTCTTCATAACTATGTACATAGTTACTTTATTTGATACCCAGGAGCAGAGAAGATTTTCAAAGAAATAATGCACTTTCACTATATGATCTATATAGCCCCAACCTAGCACCAGAACCCCTGACCCTGGGGTCATGAATTTCACAATTTTGGTAGAGGGCTCAATGCTTTTTACAATCATGCCAACAGTTTAACTAACTGCTTGATGTCCAGGAGTAAAGAAGAAGATTTTTAAAGATTGCATTAATTTTGGTGGTTTTAGCCCCACCCCTCAGGCCCCAGGCGGGATTTGACCATGAAATTCACTATTTTTTTCCCCTTCACCCATAGATGTTATATGCCAAATTTGGTTGAAATTGGTTAAGCCGTTTCAGAGAAGAAGCTAAAAATGTTCAAATGTTAACATATATATATATATATATATATATATATATATATATATATATATATATATATATATATATATATATATTATATAGTATAGTGAAAATGCATTAATTCTTTGAAATTCTTCTTCTCTGCTCCTGGGTATTAAATTAACTAACTAAGTACATAGTTATGATGAGCAAGAGTGCCTCTTCCAAAATTTTGAATTTCATGGCCACAGCCTGGTAAGGGGTTCTGGTGTTAGGGTGGGGTTCGATTGATTATTTAGTGAAATACATGTACATTAATTCATAGAAAATTTTCTCTGCTTCTGGGTATTAAATAAACTAAGAACATAGTTATGGTGAGCATGGCTGCCTTTTCAGAAATTGTGAAATTCATGGCACCTGGATCAAGGGTTCTGGTGTTAGGGTGGGACTCTATCGATTACATGTATATAGGGAAAATGCATAATTTTTTTTCAAAATCTTCTTCTCTGCTCCTGGGTATCATTCAAACAAAGGAAGTGCATGATTATGATAAGGAAGAATGCCTTTTCAAAAACTGTGAAATTCATGGCCCCTGGGTCAGGGGTTCTGGTGAAGGGGGGGGGGGCTTAATTAATTATATAGTGAAAATGCATAATTTTCTTTCAAAATATTTTTTTCTGCCACTGGTTATAAAGCAAAAAACAAGTGTATAGTTATGATAAGCAAGGGTGCTTCTTCCAAAATTGTGAGCTTGTGGCCCCTGGGTCAGATGTTCTGGTGTAAGGATGGGGCTTTATTTATTTAATAATATAGTGAAAATGCATTTCTTTGAAAATTTTCTATGTTTCTGGGCATATATGAGGCAAACAAAGTAAAAGTTTTAATATGCAAGGGTATTTTTACCAGAATTTTGAATACCTGGACCATTTAGTCAAGCGTTCTGGTCCAGGCCAGGGATCAGGTGGCAGAGGATAGTATTTTTTAATGCCAAACATGTGCTGAGGGGGTACACATATTCATGCAATCCATAAAAACATGTACATGGGGACAGTTTTCCAGGGGCTAATTAATTACACTTCATATGCCCATGGCTCACAAATTATGTCAACAAATTACATGTAATCTGCCTATTAGAGTGCACATGTACCAAAAATGCACCTGGGGACTCCCCAAATTTTGGCTTGTTTTTCCAAGATTTGGGCCTCAGTCACACCCATACAACCCACCCCTAGGCTTGAGCGAGCAGGATAAAACACCCAGAAGTCTGTAAATCAATGCATACCCTAATGAAAATTCACCAATTGATATGGGGCCATTCACCTTCCCTCTGAGATACACACCTTCTTCTAAGGCCTACTGCTTTTCAGCTGAATTTCCTCTGCAACTGACCACGTGTCTTAGTTTTGCATTTACAACTCTGTATATGATAAGCGTCATAGTGACATCTACATGTTGCACATCATTTTTTTCAGCAAGCGCTTTGCTACACTGCAAATGTGTCCCATAATTATTCTAATCATTTTTCTACATAAAATATCACATCAAACAGGGGATATCTCAGTTTTTTTAAGAAATTTGGCCGGGTCTTTAATACGAAACTATCCTCTGCCACCCCAATTAACTTGACAATGTATTCTGCTGTGCAAAGTTATTCCCCTTTACCATTCACCTGTGATAATTAATCACAGTAAATAATGTATTTGAAGGATTAATAGAAACGAGAATTACAATGTATGCAAGAATATGTACTGTATAAAAAAGTACTTTCATAGTTTTAATGATCAGGTAGACTTGGAAATAATAGATGAATAAAATTGAGACAAAAATAACTTATCTTTTTAAATGTTCTTCAAAGGCCAAGAGAGGCCAATGTGAGAAGTAATAATATGGGGTTAAAAAATAAACATTTTGTTAATAGTCTGCATGGTAATAGTGATAAATGGGGGACAGATAGATACTAGACCAATTATTTTGCTGATGCTAATCATGCTATATTTCTTGCTATCAGGATTGGCAAAAAACTGGGAAATACTCATATTTCCCAGGACGGTGGGAAATACTGGTAATTACCGGGAATTACTGGTATTTCCTGGGAAATTGTGGGAAATAAGAATAATAGCTACTAACATATTTCGTTCATATTGACATGTAGTACACCTTATTGGTTAAGATATCTACCTGGTATCATTGTCCCTGATTTTAAAAATTCTGGTTTCCAAGTAATTCATTTTACATAATCATAACACAGTATATTCATATACCAGTCATGAGTGTCATTTGTTTCATGCTTGAGTCAGATGTAGTCTATAAGGGTCCATGAAATGAACCCAAAGATCCCAAATGGGTTTTTATCTAAGAAAATTCTTAAATGTAGAGTATGGCATTAATATCAAAACTAAGAAGAAGCCTTTCAGTTCTACTCAAGGTAATTATATCTTAAAACAGGAGCACAAAACTGTCCAGAGCAATTTGTTAAAACAACATGATTGTTTGTAATAACTACAGTGTTTATAGAAGGATTAAAACAAGTTGGGTTTTTTTGTTCTTAGATTTATAATTAATTAACTTAATAATTTTACAAAACTGAAAAGAAACTTGAATTGGAAAACTTCAGTTTTATACAGAATGCTTATGGGTATGGGACCTGGAGAAGTGATACATTCTGAAGATGTTCAATTGCAATTTGAGACATATTCCATATTATTCATCTTCTGTTTTTATGTTTATTTTATTTTTGAATTTTGTATAAGATTGAATGAATTAAAGAAAGAAAAAAACTTTAACTTTGTATTTCCCAGTATTTCCCACTTTAGAGAAATTTGTAGTATTTCCCAGGACAGGAAATACCGGTATTTACCACTGGTAATTCCCACCACTGGTATTTCCCAGCCAACCCTGCTTGCTATTGGGCAACAAAGCTTCATTTATCAGATTATTGATCCTCTAAATTGTTGTATTGTACCCAGGTGAACGTTAAGGCCCTTGGGCCTCTTGTTTAAACATGGTCTTGTTCTGTAGAACACATCAAAAGAAGTTCACAATTTGATTACTTTTTTGAATTTGAATTATCAGATTTTCAATGACTGTAATTAACTATTTACTAATTATTATTATTTATCTAAGAAAAATTTGACCATAAACCATTATCCTATTAAGCATTGTACATAGAGGGATTCAAGACTGCTCAACAAAAGTATTACTAATACTGTCATTAACTGATTTTAATTTGAAAATTAAAATAAGAACACGACTATAATATACAAAGTCCTGTACCTACTTCACTTTTCAAATGAAAATCAGTAAACATCAATGCTATCAGGCTCTCTCTTCCGCATAAAAAAAAAACAAAAACAAAAAAAATAAAATATTTGGTAAAAGACCTTAAAGACACAAATTACCATTTTCTAACCGGTCTCTCTTTTCAATCTGTAAATTTCTTTACTATTTTTCTCTCTAAAATTTTTTTTCATTAAAGAAGAAGTTGACATTGTTAATTTAAAATTTTATTATGTTTATCAATATAAATAATAACCAATAGTTTTTTCTTCAGACAAAGGACGGGTTCTGATTGGTTCCTTCTTTGTCAATCCACGCCATCATTTCCTCTCCGAAGTCGTCTGCCACGGAATCTTTACTGAAGGCAAAGCTAGCGTCCATGGAGACGTTGGGTGACTTCCGGTCCTGATGATTTCCACGAACAGGAGAACATGGCTTCAAACCGCCACTTCTTTCCATCTGCGTTTTGTGGTGCCTGCTGTAAAAAATTCCAATAAATATTATAATTCAAATGGATCGTCCTTTCTGTAGCACAGGCCTTTATTTCGATTTAATCCTACTGAAATACCGGGGGTATCAAATATCCCCTACCCCCTTCAGTCGTATGTCAGTCAGATTAGAGCGATTTGAAAGGTCTGTGTTCTGTAGTACGTACATGTATTATCAGTGATCAACACAAAGTAACAAAAGAAGTTCACAATTCTGCTTCCTTTTCAAGTAGAATTATCAGATTTTCCATGACTGTAATTAACTATTTATCATTATGTATCTAACATAAAATTGGATTAAAAATCAATTACTTAATAATTTTAGAAAGAATAAATTTATAAAATATTTTAAACTCTCCAAAATAGACCCTTTTTCCAAAAATGGGAGTAATATATGTACTATAAACATGCAAAAGTGCATATAACCAGTGAAAATTAGAAATAACAAGAAGCCCACTGATCCTGACAGTCACATCAGTATCAGTTTCTCTTGTTATGACCAACTTCATCCCACCTAGCATTTTACACACTTTTTTACAAAATGGTGAGATTTCAGAAGGAAAGATTGCAAAAATTTTGATGGATTTTGGTCCAATTTATACAGGTATTTGGGGCTTACAATAAACATTACCAAAATATGTTATAGTGAATAAGGGAGGCAGAAATTCACAATTTTTGTTCCTCTTTACTCAGAGATGCTTTATACCAAACTTGATTAAAATTAGTTTATATAGCCTTTCTAGAGGACAAGATGGAAATGTTTAAAAGTTTGTGACTGAGGGACCACTGAAAAAAAAAAACCAATAGGTCACTTGAGAGACTCAGGTGTCCTAAACAGGGAGGACAAAAAAAAATCATGCATAAAATCAACCGTCTAAACTACAAACAAAGAGCACACAGACACGAAATTTCTGAATATCAATGAAAAGTTAAGATATGATATATATGCTGATTAGTAGGGCATGCATCAGCCTAGCAACTGTTACCATGGAGATAGTGATGTGTACATAGCAACAACAATATATAAACAAGTGTGGCAAAAATACATGCTTTAAACACATTCAAAAAAATACTGATTACATTTGGTGTCAAAAAAATAATGAAGCACAACTCTGCATTTATGTAAGCATTGCAAAATAATATATTTAGTGAGTTATTTAAAAACAAAAAAAATTAATCATAAATTGCATACAGTGAAGGTTATGATTAACTGAATTCATGCTGAACATACAAAGCTTCAATTCAAATATGCAAAATTAAATAAAAACATTACATTCAAAACCTATGCAGAATCACAGTATGGTATTCCTTTCATGCATATGAAAATGTTTTTCCTCCATATTTTTTTCCAAAATTAAAATCCTTTTCCAAACACATTCTTTCTTACATACGTTTTACTGGTATTTAACAAAGAACATGCTAAAATATATAAAACAAATATGTACATGCTGGATATATAGTTAACACATCAATTCCTAAATCTTTTTTCATTCTAAATCTTTTCTTCCTCTGAATGTTGTCACATTTCTGTTTAAAATCTTTTTTTTTTGTTTCAAACATCTTGTGTGATACCTTTCAAAATAGCACATTTTCACTGTTTTTCCCGGATGCTTCGGTTTCATGCAGAACACAAGAAGTACAACTGTAAACTTAATTAATTCTTCCTTTTTTTATTCTTTACTTCATTATTCTTATAGAACAATTCCAAGACTGATTTGTATATTTCCTCTAAATCACACTTACATTTACAAACATGTATTCACTTAACCATTTTGACTATTGTTCATGGGTCTTGTATTCTCTCTCTCTCTCTCTCTCTCTCTCTCTCTCTCTCTCTCTCTCTCTTTACATTCTTCTGAAAACATCAAGCACGCACGATCAAGCAAGTTACCTCCCTTTTGCCTTACATACAGTGATATAAGATACAATGTACAATAATATTACATTTCAGAACTCTCATAAATCGTCAAACCTTTCTTATTCTTATAGGAGACATTACAAAAAATAAACTGCAAAAAACTACTTAAAAAGATGTACATTTACAAAATATTTCTAAAGAATAGGACTTGACTTTCACTTCAGCATGTACTGTAGAAATATATGCAAATGAATGATAAGAATGCTAAATCTTAAAAATACAGTTATCCAGCAGTTAAATTTGGAAATTAAAATTCCTAAGTCCTGTAAAATATAACAAACTCTTAAAAGTGCTAATATCACAAAATTTAAGATAAACAAAAAATAATGCCATAAAATGTGAGAAAATGAAACTGTCGAGTAAATGGAAAAATAAAATGTGTTTGAATCATGTGCCACAGTGAGATTTTTTAGTTTTGAAAAAACAGTTATTTCATTTTACAGATCACACAAAACACATCAGATATCTCCATGGAAACAGTAAACAGACTGAATAGTAACCATGACAACCCTCAAGGCTCTCTCTATCTCACCTGTGATGAGTCCTAGGAGTGGAGGCCTGATTTCGTGTTAGGGGGTCACACTTTTGAGGGGTCAGAGGTTGATAATGGGTGTGTTTAGTTTGGACAGATTTGTACACCCTAGTACCAGTGGGAGTCTGCATGGAGTATTGCACATGAGAACTATGTTCTTTGACAGCCTCAAAACGAGGCGAGCCATGTTGGGGAGAGTCAAACGATTGGTCGTTCTCTCGCTTGTGTGACATGAATGGAGAGCCCCTGCGGGTCGCAGGCGAGCCCGGGCCAGGGCGACAGGAAACAGATGATAAAGAATGAGAAGGACTCGTGTGTAATGAAGACGAAACAGGATGAGCAAAAGACGAGTTTGAACCTGAGAAGGAGTTCTCTCCCCCTGAGTCTGTCGATTGCTGGGAGGGGGAGCTACACCGAGATCCTCCAATCAGCTGTTGTTGATACTGTTCAATGTACCGCTGCCGACGCATTTTTTCACTGTATTTGTAAAAGTCTGACATTTCAAAAGGTTTTGAGATCACCTCCACATTCCGATGAGGCTGAATTTTGGTCACAGTCACTACTGCATTTGACTTTTTGGTATACTGTGGAGAATCAGATTTGCTGCTAGGATAAAAACTTTGGTCACTGATAGAATTTGGTCCTTTGCTCCCAAAAAAGGAGCCCTCGTGTAATCGAGGACTATAACAATGGTTTTCAAAACTGTTCTCATGTTGATCAGGACTGGTGATTATTGGTGAAGGTTCCGTGAATGCAGAGTCTTCCCAGGGTGCCGATTTGTGACGCTGGTGTTTTGGCGTCCCCGTTTCCTCGTGTTTCACCGGAACCTCTATCACACTGTTTCTAGATGACACAAGGTCATATTCTGATTGAGAATTCCTCTTACTTCCAAATTTAGAAGGTTCTAGGTCAGTTAAAACATTACTTTCACCATCACTGAGTTGTCTATCTCTGTACGACCACCGATCGCGGCGACGTGTATTCCGTTCTAAGCTCCCGTAATGTCCCTGAGACATAGGTTTGCGGTGATAATCATCGTACTTAAGAGACATATCAGATTTACCATAACCTGTCAATACATTATCACTAAAATCAGTGTTAGTGGGAGTCTTGATTTCATCAGTACTTTCGTAATGTGAAGTCCTCTGAGTGTTTAGATTATACATGTTATTGTTTGAACTAAAACCACTGTCCTGACTTCCTTTCTCATAACGTTTCACGTTCTCGTATTCAGATTGGCTAGACATATTGCTGCCAGACGAAGCACTTCGACTGCTGAGAGGTGGAGGGAATATCTGGTTCCTGTAGGTGTTTGCTTGGCTTAGGGAATTCAACTGGGGGCTAAAATGTAAAAAAAGAATTCAATTTACATGCAATAAATACTCTATTCATATAATCATTTCCATTATATATTGTATGACTAACAATTTTGTAATCTGAAGTAATTCTGGATTCAAGGGTTTCAATAATTAATTTCATTTGTTTAATTTGAATGAAAAATACTTGAAATGCAAAACAGCAAAAATAGCCTCATTGAAAACTTTTTAATACAACCTGTATTTTCACAAGGGACTTCAAGTGATAAATTCAGAAAATCAGCACATGTACGATGTATTCTGCTTTCTTGACACTGCAAAGTACGATCAGAATTTAATAAAAATATCAAGAGATTCTGACTACACTGACCTGCTGAGGGTGGGGCTGAGAGGGGATGGAGACGTGGGGGACAGTTCACGAGTGGTAGCTGACCGTTGGATTGTGATCTGTCTTGGGCCGTCACCAGAAGAGTGCTAAAATCAAAAACAGATTAAGTACTGTAAGAAAACTTTTCTTATCAAGTAAAATGAAGGACTTTTGCTTTTTGAGTTTTTAGCTGTACGAATTTTGACACAGTTATAGCAAACATTCAGGGATGGCTGAATTAGCTTAGCTTTTTCCTTTATTTGTTATATCAAAGTAAATATTCATTAATTTCTAGAACTTAGGAGAAAAAAATACTAGGTCACTGTAAGCATAAATTTGCAAAATTTAAGTCAACTATAAACATGTTTCACTCTACTTTCTCCATTTTCAATCATATTATGTACACTTTTTTAACTATGGATTTCACAAACTTTTTTCATGATTTTTTAAACATTAAAATCAACAAGTTTTTGACAAGTGCTTCTTTAAAACTTCTTTTTTTTAAATTTTGCCACTTCAATTTAAATGTTATCAATGCAGAATAAAAGAATTAAATAAATTTTTATCAACATACATCAACTCTGCGCCTTGGTGGTAGTTCTGGCGATGTTGTGTCCTGTAGTCGTGAGTTTGTTCCTACAATACAATACATAGGCACGTGAAGTTCCTGAAATCCATCAGTTTCTAAATTTATCAATTCAACATTAATTTTACATAAAGTAAACACTACATTTGTCTTCAGATTTCACAAGCACAGTAAATTCATGATATAAATATTTGTTATTCAAATCAATTGCATACTGAATGCAAAGAGCATAAAACAATAGAGCAACAAAAGACATCAGAGAAAGATGGTCAAGATTGACGGTCAATCATCTCATAAAAGTTGGTACGTGTCTGAAGACGGTTATTTCCTTCCACAATACTCCTTGGTATGTTACATGTTCATCTTAAGTGTCCTCCGACTACAATGGAAATGAAACAATGTTCTCCACAGAGAAAGTTTGTCAATTCACTCCGCAATAATTCATCTCCAAACTCAAAATGGTAAAATTTATCTGCCTGCTAAAGCTGAGAAGATCCAGTAAATATGAGAGAAGAAACTGCGAGCTTTTTATCCAAAAATCAAAATGGCAAAAACCTCCAATATGTGCCCAGTTTTATTGCTAATGCCAGAAAGTGGTGTATTTCAGGAAAGCAGTGAGAACTTTTTATCCAATCCCTTGGTAAACGTCATTTAAGATGACTCTAAACGGACATTAATTGATGCATATACTCTCAGCTTCCAAGCTTTACGGTATCCTGTGAACTTAAAATTCTTTTGAAATCCTGACACTAAGTATCCATTCCAGATTCTTCAATACATTCCTCCATAGCATCAGATGCCAAGATGTCTGTTTAAGTTTTTAATCTTTGCAGGTTATATCTTTTTAACTTTGAAATGGAATCTTAACTTTGAAAAGAAATCTTTGAGATTGGTACAGAATGCTGTGAACTTTGAAGAATTTGAGATTTAGTTTTTTTTATCTGGCTAATGTGTGAGTGTTTGATTGGGAAGAATTTTTTAAATCAACATTAAAAGGATCAAGCCACCAGCCTTATGTTTTCTTAAATGGTTGATTAACTGTAGTAGATTTCCCTTGAACTCAGGGATAATCTTATCTTCAAATGTTTTAATGCGCTGTTTTGAAATCTGCACTAAGCAAGGTGTATCTTGATCAGAATCACTACAAAAACACAAGGTGTGTTTGAATAACCTGCAGTGCTAATTAAGATTTTCAAAAAAGTTTAAAGAATATCAGTTTTTTTCAGCTGCTGTTAACCTAATTCAGTAAATATTTATTATGTTATTCACCCTCCCCCCTTTTCATTTTCCAAACAGTAATCTTTTTCTTCGTTATTGCTAAGAATAGTCACTGCATGGTGATCAACATAGCCCCCCCCCCCTTTTTCTTTTTCCAAACCGTAATCTTTTTCTTCGTTCTTGCCAAGAATAACTCATAATTTTTTCATTGCATGGTGATTTTACAAACCAGCAACACAAAATTAACTTTCTTATCCTTAGAAATTAATTTTCTTGTCCTTAGATTTCTATCACTAAGAAGTTAAACTACCCTAACCAATTATCCACCTAAGACAATATATCCTGTATACTAGTATAACAGTATTCTGATAAAGAACATACATGTACACAGTACATGTAGAAGTGAAGCAGTTTCAAGTAGATCCCCCTCCCTTTTGCACTAATCAATCATAGACAAGTTTCTAAGCATTCCTCTTTCCCTCCCCCTTCATCTGTCTCTATTTGCTTAGTTAAGATTTTAAACCATGTTGATACTTTTTCCAAGATACACCATCAGATTTTCAAACCTAGACTGATTATATATGTACTTTATCATATCAACACGTTCCTTTACAACATGCTATGCTCTTCCTGATGCAGATCAATCGGTGCTATCTTTGTATATACATTTTTTTCAAGAATTAATATGATTTTTAACTAAACAGCATTTCTAATTTCTTGTCTGGCACCTTCATTATTTTGTAGTGGAAAGCTATCTTTGACACCTATTGTATGGTGACAATAAAGCTGGGTAAACCTCTATCCAAAAATGTGGCTATAAAATCGTGTATAACAGAAAAAAAAAATTCTAGCTTGGAATGCTTTCAGAGCAGATAAAGGATTTTGATTTTTGCAAAAAAGGAAAACCTTTTCCCATGTTTAAAAACTTTACCCCTAAGTTTTCTTGTTTCAAAATCTAGTGACATTTAATAGTCAAGTTTTTATCTAAGACATTTCTTAGTTTTGTAATTTAGTTTTCTGCCAAGAAGTGACTTGTTTGTCACTTTGTCAATTACTATATTCCATCAAATTATATATATGTGAAGATTGCTGTCCTTTGTTGATGTGACTGCCTGTATAAAAAATATGCAGACTTAAAAAGTCTTTATAGTAAGCATTAAAGCTATATATGGCATATCTGAGTTAAAAAATAAAAATATGAGATTGAGTATAGATGAACATGATATTTCTTATTTATGTTCAAATTAAAATTTTCACCGATTCTGAACTTGAATAACCCCACGTTTCTATAGTTATAAACTGACTTTATACTGTGTCTGATATTTAAATGCAGAGTCGGTAAATAAATCGGTTATTGTTTTAAATTTCAATATCTATGAAACGCGATTGATTTAAATTGTGTAATTTATAGGAAAGTCCTATCTTTATATAAAGTAATAAAACAAATAGAAATATCTTTATAATTTTACTTAGTCTGAACTTATCAAAAATATGCCATATATCACTGTAATATCTGCAAAAAGCCAAGATATGTGTATATTAGCAAGCCCAAGCCAAGCTGTGTATAACTGAAAAGCAAGTAAAACCAAATAATCATAAAATTTATTGTTAAAAACTGGTCAGGGAGAATAAGTGATAATAACAGAGGAAGATAACATAAAACAAAGCATACAAATGAAAACAAAACGCTCAGGTGAATATGAATGCTGAACAAAATGAAAATGAAACTAGGAACACATATCATGACAATCACTTTTCATAAGTTTTCAAAGTTTCTGTCAATCACATTGACAATTTTGAAAGTTTATGGTAAGTCCCTGCATGTCATAATATGCAAATGAATGATTAATGATGCAACAATACACAAAAAGCATAAATATGCGATTACATGTAAGCCCAACACACACAAACACATGCACATATGAATACATGGGAAGTTGATCTAATGCTTTGTTAATGTTTAACACTGTTATCTCCCTTGAAACGGTAAACAAGCCACTTAACTCCCTTGGCACTATTGGAAAGACATTTTTTGTTTCGAGTTAAAACAACAAATAAATTAACACAGAAAGCTGTCGCACTAAAGCACACAATAAATAAGGGGGTGGATCCAGGATAAAAATCTGAAGCCTAGACTTGACTCTCCACGTTCTGCTTCTGGGTGAGTTCATGACACATCCTCTCGTACTCGTACGACTGCCAGGAGGCCCGGGTGGGAGACGGAAGAGAATGATATCCCGAGGAAACAGAAGACGCAGCAGAATTTGTGGATCCTGAAGATGAGGAAGATTTCAACACAGGCGTAAGCTTGGGCATCTCTAACACAGGGTGCAAGGAACGATTCAAAGATCCATAATTTTCACAGGTGGATTTGTTGAGGAAGGAGGCCTCTAAGATGCTGTTGTTGTTGCATCGATCTGGGTTGTCGAGGTAGGACTTGTTGAGACGACTCTTCACGGAATACCTCTCTCGGAACGACTTGTAGAGTCGGGAGGTCACGGAGCGCTTTCCTCGTCGCTTCTCAGCTAGCAGCATGTCGTCACAGAAAGTGTTAGAAAGACACTGATCTAAGTTGCACTCTTTGTCTACTAAGCTCTGATTAACTACACTGTACATACCATCGTAAGATGGCGCTCCTGAGGGGAGGAAGTGACTGGGGTCACCCTTGGTCTCCGACAATTTCTTCTCCATCTCCTTCAGCTGAAAGACAAATGAGGTCATAAGTAAACCATATAAACATATTCATCAGATTCACTCTCACTTTAAAATTAATTATTTTTTGTGGACACTTTAAAATTAATTATTTTTTGTGAAAACCTCAGAAACATTTATGTCTTTTCCTTCATTTTTGGGAACAATTATGCTGTATAGTTGTGCCATTTAATTACTAAAACCTTACTTGAGAAAATGTTTTGCAATGAAATTCTTGCTATAAATTTCATTACTAAAGTATAACATTTAGTGTAACACAATGAAGTGCATACGAAAATGACCTTTAGAATATTCAAAACATACCTTGGCCTGTGCCTTGTGGAAGGACTGACGTCTCTGCTTGCGGACATACTTGCTGACGGATTTGTCCGAGGACAATTTCTTGGCAGCATTGGTGATCTGCTTTTGGAGTTCATACTCCAGCTCTAGCGTAGATAAGGCATCATCCGTCTGTAAAAAAAAAAATAACAATCATTACACTATTCATACTAAGCACAATAAGCTGAAAAGTATCTATCCAGACCTTTAAATGCTATTCAGCTTTTTCTAAATGCTTTTCTGCTTTTATTTCATAAATTTTACATTCTTATTTGCATCATCATTAACATGGCAGAAAAAAAGAGTCTTAACTAAATTACTTATTTTTTTTTTTACTTTTGGAGAAATGTTTTTCTGGAAGACATTTTTATAGACACAATACATGATGACAGTAAGTGCCATTTTAGGATCTTTACATGTTTTTGTCCTTACCTTTTTCTCAGGAACCTTTGAGGCCAGTGAGAAGGCGGTTCCTACTCTCTTTCTGATGGTGGGGAGGGGTTCACCAGACTGCTGGGGGTAATCCAAGGGCAGACAACCTGTCAGTTCCTAAAATTAATAGTTCACACATTAGCCAGATTCAAATAAACCATATAAAACACATAGTAATAAAAACTGCAAATTCATGATTTTTCCAGTAAATTGTAAATTTAATATTTTTTAAAGTGTATATTTCTTTAAACTTTGATAAGCAAATTTATTAACAACATAAATTTTACTTTTGAATTAAATGATGTTAAACCATATTAACACAATAACTTACCCCCTCCTGTATACATAATTGTTTCAGTTCCTCTAACTTCTTGCTGACCGCCTCTTCAAGGGCTTCCCTACGAGCCTTCAGTGCAGTGTACATCTCTCTCTGGGCCTTCACAGCCTCAATACTAGGGTCACAGTTCACTGAAAAAGGGACAAAGGTCAAATATATTAACATGTTCATGAATGCAAATTTTCATGAAATTTTTCCTCCCTTCTAAAAATAAAAGATACCCACTTTTTAAAAACCTTTTTCCAGTGAATTTATTTTGCTTCTCGGAATTAAGTCATGAGGGAGAGCTGAACTACAGAATCATCAATCTCTAAAATATCACCTTGACATGACAACGATGCACTCTAAATACTTCCTTCCTATGTTTGTACACTCTCCTATCATAATACCTCATTTCCAAGTCTGGAAAATTACTGCTGTGGTTCACACAACATTCAGATGGTGTTTTATCTCCCTTTAATCTCTGTTAAGGAGATTATCACCACCACCTAATTTTCTTTGATCCTTTATTTCCTATGATAAACACCATTACTAGAGAAAACTCTAGTATTTATTGGATAAGCAAAACTCAGCATGTAGTAGCTATTTGTTTTGTTTTTTTATAAGTCTGGTGTAATAAACTTTATGAGGGACTAATTTTTCCCAGACAAATCAAGTGGGGTCCTGTCTGGGTTTGGAATAAACTCAATGTATTTGGGGTAAACCATAATTTGTTTAATATAAAACATTAGATAAACTTTATCTCTGAAAATTCATATTTCAAAAAAATGTGTTTCTTCTTACCACATGTATTTATAATATCCAACTTTTTTTTTATTTTTACCTTCTTTTCATATTTTATTTATAAGCTTTTTTAAATAGGTTACACAACATGTGCTTATTTAGTAAAATCCCATTACATAAATTTTAAATCCTACTTTGAAAGGCAGATTATTCATTATTTCATTTTTTGTTACCTATACTAATTTTGTCATTCAATGCAGAAAATGTTATTAAATTAATTCATAAAACCACTTTATTTAAATACAAAATCACATTATAAAAACTGCTTTTGAATTATTAGTTTTCAAATTGAAATAAAAAAGATTTTATATCCTTCAATTATCCTGTATAATGAAGCTAATTTTTAATAATCTACTCAAATGTTAATTGACAAACATATTGACACCTGGGGGACAGGTATAATATTTTAATTAACATGTAACTTCACAGGTACACACAGACTACACCTGTAACAGGTGTGACAATTTCAATTTCTTAGATAATTGGATGACAAATGACATATTGTGTTATTGTGTTCAATATGATTATGAAACAGGTTCCAAGACCACACATTTATGTTGAACATTTAACAATTCAGATTTTATCTTAAAGACTTCAAACGCACCTGTTTCTAATGGATTTAGGAAGTTAACATCCATTAAAGTAAATCTATCATTCAATTTCTGTCTTTGAAGTAAATAAGTCTTCTCAACATTAAAGAATTTAGATCCATTAAAACTTAACATTAGTTTATGCCCAAGGTAATGATAAATTGAACCAATTAGTTACAGAGTGTATGTGTGTGGTCAGATTTAAATTTAATTCTTTTAAAAAAAATCATTTTTTTTTAAATTGTCTCAATTTCAAGGAAATGTGATTTTTTTTATAAGTAGATGTTCACAAAAAAAAAAAAAACAAAACAATGGAATAAAATTTGCCTTAACAAACTTGTACCAAAAAAAAAAATACTTTTGTGTGGTCTAATTTGAATTTTACTAAACTTAATTTATAAATGAAAAATAAATTAATAACAATTTTTTTTTTCATTATTTCAATCTCAACAAGATGTCCCATATCGAAAATGAATACAAAAATAATACAAGAAAAAAATACTAAAATAATACAAAAAAAGTATATTTTTAATGACCAAATTTGGAACCCTCTAAATCTTGGTTCCAATTTAGGTCAAAAATAATAGACTTTCTAAAAGCCAAACACAGAAAAATATATTTTTAATATACTTTATTTTTTCGAAATAATACAGAAATGATACACATGACCTGTAAAAACGTATTGTTTTTGTACTTTTGTATTATTTCTCTATTTTCCTCTCCAAAGTATAAAAATAATAGAGTCCATAGAAAAGTATAGAAAAAATACAGAATGTATTAATTTTGTATTAGCATATATCATTTTTGTATTTTTTCACCTTTAAGAATTAAAATACAAAAAAAATATAAAATATATTAATTTTGTATTACATATATTATTTTTGTATTTTTTCATCTGGAACAATTAAAAGTACAAAAAAGATATAAAATATGAAAATAATATAGTACACAAAAAAGTATGAAAAAAATATAGAATGTATTAATTTTGTATTAATATGTATTGTTTTTGTATTTTTCTCAGAATGAAGGATTGTATTTCAAAAATATCAAAAAAGTACAAGAATGATAGACAAAAAATACATTTAAATGCTTAAAATAATACAAAACAGTTTTAAAAACTACAAAAATGATCATGGGCAAAAAATTGTTATTAGAAGAAAAGGGGTTGGAGATCGAGGTTCTTAACAGCATCTATTGATTGTTATTCAAATATCTTCTATTTATTTGAAATATTTTTTAAATAACAATTTGAGTAACTCAGTCAGATTACCTTTAATGTACAAATAGCTAATTAAAAAGTAATAAATGTGGCCAGGCTACTGATTCAGCTACCAATTGTAGTCTTTCTTTTTACATATAATCTGTTCTTCAATAGTCTTGATCTTTTTCACAAGTTTAACTAATCCTGTTTTCTTTGTACTTTTACCAAATGTTTCAATCTTCTCTCTGCTTTTGTATGGAAAAAGGTAGAGGAGTGTTTACTTTGTTGCAGAAGTCCATCTTCAAATCACACAACCTGTCATCTCATCTGACTTCATCACTGTGAAATATAGAACAGAATGATATAATAATAAAATTAATAATAAAATTTAATGAACCATTACCTCAACAAAACACACATTTTCACATCCGAAATAATTCTCTATAGATTTTGTTTAGCTCACACACCTGCAATACTTTCTTGAGAGGGATCTTCTTCCTCCATGACTAATCAGCTTTTCTTCAATGTTCTGCTGACTAAAATTAACAATAATTATAAATTGAAATTCCAAAAGATCCAGCAAAGTTCACCAAATTCCATACAATTGTACCATTGAAATTACTTTTCTTTAATCTGGGGTGTCTTAGGGGACAATCATTTGATTTGACAATCTGGATAAGAAAAAGGGGGGGGGGGTGACTTATAAAATATTTTTAAAAAAATATTTGTAATAAACAATCTGTCCTTGTAAATGTTGAAAGAGTAAACAAAATGTGTGCCCCAATGTTATTTAAATAAACTGCCCCCTCCCCGAACCCAACCTCCCCCCCCCCGAAAAAAAATTGAGTTTATACAAATTACAGAATTGTTTTTGAAGGGAAAATAAATAATTCGTTTCTGGTAAACTTGAAAAAATTGGAATGAATTAGAACTAGGAAGCCGAGAGCTTGAAAATTACCCCTATCTTCCACCCCTCCCTCCCCAATCCACAAAAACCCTTGTTCCCCACATGGCCAATAACCGTACTATTTTATCTTTCTACAATACTACAAAATGGGTAAAAAAGGGCATTCTTTGATCCTCTATCTTTGTACTAAGTTATTATTTAAAAAACTGAAACTTTAATGTGCTAAAATATACATAATCTTACCGCAACTGTCGTTGTTTACACCAGAAAAGTCCTGATACGATGCCTAAAAAACGTCAGTCTCCTTATGTATTCGCTTTCCTTGGTTCATATATATGATCCTGTTTACCATGATTATGCTGAACTTCTGTTTTTCGATCCATTTTACTCGTGAGCAAACGCTAGTTTATTCAAAATCACCTCCAGCTTTCTCAACACGTCCCGGGAAGAATTTTCAAAATGGCGTGGGTGAAATATTTTTGACCAATCAGAGATCAGTACGGAAGAGTTTTAAAATCTGACCAATCATATTGTGTCATATATACGAAAATTACCGATGTTGAGATCGGAACAGTTAGAGAAAACATATTTACATGGTTTTAAATATTTTGAATCAAGTGAACAAACCTAAAATTATATTAGAAAAAAACGATGTTCAATTTAATCATCAGAATCATTCTTTTATTCCTTACGGAATTTACCGATTACGAAACATTGTTATTTCCGGTCATTATTTCCGCTGAGAGCAGCCATTTTTATATTCAAGTTGACCTGTGAAGTAGACCATAAAGTTCAAATATAATGATCAAAACGAGCGGGAGATACATAAGATATAGCCTTTTTGACGGACAACTTAACTCATACGTACGGTACCAGAGATTGAAATAATGTTGAACAACTATCCTTTACACCAATTTCACAACATTCTCTATATTATTTCATGAAATTCTTTCGTAATAATTTCTTATTTATTTTTTTTTTTAAAGCGGATAATTAAATAGTTCTATTCCATGTAATTGTAATACGTACTGAATTAAATATAACGTATACTTAATTGAGTTGTATAGTCAAGAAAACATCGTAGGTACTGTAATTAGTGGAACTCTCCATGTTGTTGTTGTTTTTTTTGTTGGGATGTGTTTTCACGGGTAAATCATTATTTCTTTGAGTAGTATAACATGTATACTCGTCTATTGTTAGCCTGCAGGTGGCCACCTGTGCTGTTGGCGATAGTTGTAAACACTTGGTTGTAAACACGCTGTAAAATTTTCAACACAAAAGAAAGTCTGAAACTCTGAAACTTCAAAATTTACCGCGTGTTTACAAGTATCATGTTCAGCACAGGTGTCCCCTTAGACGTATCTATCCCTTTCCAAATGACAATTTCACACCTAGTAAAGACATGTTTTAAAAATGAAATTGTTATGTTAACAAATTTAAACTACTGAAGTTTTCTGTTCTAAATAGCAATTAAATTTAATGTGAATAGTATAAAAGCAACCTTTTATAGCAGTGGTCTTAATTAATAAAATCTGAGAAAAAGATATTAATTCCAACAGACTTATTGCAAGGACATTCTGTAAATTTTACTAAGTTCAAAGAAATACAAATTTCAGTAAAAGAAAACACTAAGTCCAAAATAAATATGAAAAAAATACATACTGACTGTATAGTATTTTTTGAAAAATTATTAAGTCCAAATTTAATACAAAAATAATACAGACTAACTGTATGTAATTTTCTGTAAAATTACTAAGTTCAATTTTGATACAAAAATAATACAGATTAACTGTGTGTAATTTTCTGTAAAATTACTAAGTTCAATTTTAATACAGAAAAAATACACTTGAAAAAAACTAAGTCCACAAAAATACAAAAATGATATACTGAAAATAATCTAAGTCCCAAAAAATACAAAAATAATACCCTGTAAAAAATCAAAGTCAGATTTTAATACAAAAATAATCTACCTATTTTTTGGTGATACAAAAAAAATATATTTTTTCTGTATTAATTTTAAACAATACGAAAATGATTGTATTAAAAATATATTAAAAATATACTTTTATGTATTATTTTTTGATATGGGGTGTTTCTCAAAGAGTATGTGATGTTCACGAAAAATAAAATAAATAAATAAAAAAAAAATTTTAAAAATTGGAATAAAATTTGCTTTAACAAAATTCCTATACTTAACACCCCCCCCCCCCCATCCCTCAAAAAAAAAAAAAGGTTCAATAATGTAGAAAAATATTCCTTGAACATGATAAGTGTCCAAAAGACAATGATTCTTATCTGAAATGAATTCATGTCCACAATGATTCAATTGAAGGTCCCTTTAGCCCTTTTATAAAAGCTATTCAGAAAACTGTTGACCCAGTTAAGAAATGTCATCACCTTGAACACTATTCACCTTTCACAGACAAACCAACAAAGACGAAATATACTTACACAGTGACATATCATAAAAACCAGAGTTGTCGACACACATCATGCTCCTGTCCATCATGTACGAACTATTCTTCATAGTGACAAGCAAAACTCAAGAGGAGGGTTACATACAGGACACAATAAAAACAATCAAGATCTCTTAATTATCTGTCCACTACAAAGTGACTTTTGTGACTTAATTAAGAGTTCCAGGTAATGAAGAGTAGATGCCAAGCTGTGGGGTAGCTCTGATCAGCCATGGACCCGGTGGGGGCTTATATATACACACACACTACTCTATCTTCTAACACAGCCTCTAGTCCCAAAGACAACACGACAATTACCTATTGTTTGTGTACACAGGTAAAGGGGTGGCATTAGAGCCACTTTTCTATCTAATGTGGCCAATCTCATTCAATTAGAAGTCAATCAGGCTTGTGTGTGTTTGTATTGTTGTAGGTAATAGGTAGATAATGGGGTCATTATTTCTGGCCCTTGTTTCCTGGGGTCACAGATACAGGTGAGAGATAAGTGTGCCTCCCTGAAGATTTGTCACCTGATAGCAGAAAAATGACCCTCATGACACAGTCCACTGGTACCATTAGTACTTACTTAGTACTTTTTGGCACAAGGTCAGCATCAGGTGTAATGAAGTACTTATCACACCTGAGGTACATCATGAAGTGCTAACACACTTGTTTTCCACTTGTTTTCACAGAAACACTTCACAGAGCTACACTTTGGAGTGATAATGGTATCAGAAAAACATAGAGTACCAAAAATACAAGGTAATATTACAGAGAACTGACACTGTGGTAAACATGTTATTATCCTCTTTAACAAAGAATTGACTTCAAAGGTAAATAATAAACAAAATCATTTCTATTCTACTGCAGTAACTGATATAAGAATATTTTATTATGATTTATTAAATAAAGAATGTTTCTTTAGTTAGATAAAATTAAATATAATTCATGACATAAATTATTACCCCGGTACTTAAAAAAAAAAAAATTAAATTGAAACAATTTTCTGTAATTTTATTAGCTTTTCATTCTTTTCTCAAGCATTCATCTTTTTAAACTATAAAATTATTTTTTTCTGCTTCAAGACTGCACATATAATTTGCACATAAGTGCAAATTTTCTGAAATTGATATGCATATTTTCTGAAATAAGCAATTACAAAAAAATATCAATTACTGATTTACTTTTCATTCATTCTATTTTAACTTTCTTTTTTTAAATTACAATTTCGATTCCTTCCCCATTTTATTTTATATACATTATGTATTTTATTTTTGGGGCAGGAAAAATAACCCCTCAATCCTACTGAAGCTGATCATTGCAAATGTGCAATAAAATTTAAAGTTCTTTAAAATTACAATGATTAGGAATTATCATAACCCCCAATTATTAATCCTTGAGAGTATATCTGAATATCACTGAAAAGCTTCACATCACTTCAAATCGTCAGCTACAAAACATGATTATTTACTTATTAAGGATTATAACACTGAATACTTACAATCAAACCTTGATGCAGACAGACTCGGTAAACTCGCTGAACTTCCGCTCCGACTTATTGAGTCTGAACCAAGCGAGCCTTGTAAAGATGAAGTGCTGCGAGATAATTCAGCAGCTATCTCACTCACACTACGAGCTTGAGACAATGACGACTGAAACAAAAATATTTTATGCAATGTGTATGTCAAACATCTCAATTGAGATGTTTAAGGAAGTAAAATATCTTGAAGACCTTTTTCCTTGAATTGTAATATCAATTCAATTGAATTTGGTAAGGTGCCAAGGAGGGTGCAGAGATGCATGCTTAATAAAAACATAACAAATGTTGGGCAAAAAAAATTAATCTATATTTTCCCAGGCACCACTGCATCAGGTCAAACACGGCCACGTTGATCAATTTTATCGACATATTGAAAAGAAAATCTCAATTTTCTACTTTTCCAAGTTAAAAAAGAAAATAGAGTTATGCCTCTTTTCATACATGCTAATAAAAAGACGTTTTAATTACACAATATATTTCTTTTTAAAATAGTATTTTCTGAATCAATTTTCCATAAACAGGTTTGGAATAAAATATTCAAAATTGGGTCCATAATATGATTAATACACGAGTGCAAAAAAAGAAAGAATCAGTTGATATCTTTTTGTTTACAGAGGTAATAGAAACCTGCCTTTTGCATTGAATTTCCAAATTTTTAGCCAGAGAAACTAAAGATTAATTTTTTTGGCCTTACTATCAAACTCAGCATAAATGTTGTCAATGATATTTGGCTCAAGAAAAGTACAACTGTACAAATACTTAAAGTATAAGTATCTCTGTGTATTTTGTATTAATAATGAATAAATTTTTATCAATTCACAATTTTCAATGTATCATAACCTCCATTCTTAAACATTATTACCTAAAGAGTGCCAGCATGCAAGTGCTTTTATATGAGTTGTCTGCCCCTACCTTATTGTGTTTTCTATCGAGGTAAAATTGATGTTGGGCCACGGCCATACACCAGATACATTTTGTCAGCTGAGGGGTGGCTCCAAACCACGAGTGGACTATAACGTTACCCGGTCCAAAGGTTCGACGACTCACAGACACCCTGTAATTAGAGAAAACAATCAGTTTCTAGAGATCAGTTGGTTAGATGCACATCTCTTTCCATCTCTTTCCACCTTCTTGCAGTTTGGTCTATCAAAGATTGTGCATATATATGTTGGTTCTTCAAACAAAAAAAAATGCAAATGAACACACCAACAAAACCAAGCAGGTACTAACACCAACAAAAAATACTAAAGTGAAAACATCAGTCATGCTTCTAAACAAAGAAATTAAATGTCACAGAATATTTATAAAGTCCTACATTTATCAATCATGAATTTGTCTGTACAACTTCTTCACACCTATCTACAGAATCAAGCTTACAATTTGTACTTCAACATAGGGAAATTAAATATCAAGAGGTTGAATTATTAATCACCAAAGAAATAATTGATGATGAAGGTGTGGACTGAGGAAATGGAGTTATATACTAATCCATTTTTTCAGGGAATGGCCAATCGTCCTCAACAATTCCTAATGTAGGAACAAACTTCAGCTCAAAAAAGTGATTATCATTTATCTAACATTTGTGGGTCCCATATACATGTATATTTTATAATTTTATAACGTTTAGAGCTCTCTTTACTGCATAGCAAGATCTCTGTTAGAGAACTGTCATTGTGTGACCTTACGCAGGGGTCTGTCACTCAGCTGAGCTCTTACTGAGTTCTTACTGAGATCTTACTCAGTGGTCTGTCACTCAGCTGAGTTCTTAATGAGATCTTACTCAGGAATCAGTCATTGTGAATTCTTGAAATTTTACTCAGGGACCAGTCATTGTGAATTCTTGAAATTTTACTCGGGGATCAGTAATTACGAGTTCTTGAAATCTTATCTTACTCAGGGATCAGTCATTCTAAGTGAGTTTACTTACTGAGTGGTGGGGTCAGTGAGATTACTTACTGAGTGGTGGGGTCAGTGAGTTTACTTACTGAGTGGTGGGGTCAGATATTGCATCTGAGAGTTCATCAAACTCTTCAGGAGGCTCGAGTATGGCGTCCTCGTACAAGTTAAAACTGCTGAGCGTGTGCACAACACTACAACACAAATCATGCTCATCTTACTAGCAGCACTCGGTAAACTACAGACTCCTTAACATGCCATGATTATACATGGGGTACACAGAGAAAATTGTTAATAGATCAATGAATTATTAGTATACAATTTTAAAATAAAAGAAAACATGGATAAATGTCATAAATCAGAATTCAAAATTAACAAATATAAATCAATCAACATGCCTAAAAACAGGAAAAAACTATCTGAATTTCATGCCACATAAAAATTTGTCAGTTCTAAAATCAAAAGTTTAAAAAGTTTCCTAATAAGTAAAGCACAGTATGAAGTCATTCTTGGAACATTCATTGTCAAAATGCGACATTTTGTCTACTTTCTACCACAACAGATCTGCATTAAAAATGAATGAACAACAAGATCCTGAGGCCCTGTGTCCTGACTAACTTACCGCTTGGTGTCGTGGACTTCTATTGAGAACTTCTTGTCTCTGTAGTACAAATTTTCCAGTTGTTTCCAATTAAAAACCTGAAAAACAACCAACAAACAAATAAAATACCTGGCATCGACCTTTAAGGAATAAACCCACTGCTAAATACTTCACAATTTGATGCATATTAATTAGTAATCCCACACGTATTAATCCTGCTGTTAAATTTATGCATACTGCGGTTTTACATTCAGGTTTTCTGTAAATATTCTGTTTTACTGTAAATTGCCTGTCAAGTTTTTATTTTGACAGTTCTAAATTCAGAATTTATTTGACAGGATCAAATATCATTTACATAATTAATGACACCTAATTAGAAATTACTTGGATTTTTTTTTTTAAATAATCAAAATATCTATCTCATATTGTTTTCCTATATGTAAAAATTTTGAATTGCAAGCAGATCTATATAAGGATACAAATTTACAATTTTTTTTTTTTTTAATACAATAAATTGATATTCTGGGAATATCTCATTCATCTACATTCCATTTTGAACTTGAATGAAGTATTTCCTGATAACTTCCAAGAATTTTACAATTACAAATCAATTTGAAAAAAATAATCCATAAAACACTACTTCACCAAAAATTAAGGAAAAAACATCCTCTGTCAAAAACCATGATAAACACAGTGTCCTATACATCTGCATACATATACAACACTGGAAGAAATGTGTAATTAATCTAATTATAACTTAATAATTACTTTATTTATTGACCTATCCTTGTGTTAATATGTACTGCATGTAAAAAGGATGTAAACATCATGTATAAGGTGTAACAGTTTTAATTCAGGAAGTAGTATGAAAATTTATTTTTAGACGCCCTTGGCTAAATTTGAACATCTAGTTCTAGAGATTAAGAGGCATTTATTAGATACAACCAAAACAAGTTAACTGTGATAACGATCTACATGTCTGTAATTCCTGCTTTGAATATTAAAAGTTACATCAGGCTTTGAATTCAATATGCTTCATCTTTGGCTATCAAGAATATATTTTACATATTAATTAGGTTAGAAATGTCTACATACATGTACATGGCCGAACTAGATTTAACGTTTGACTTTCAATACCAGGGGTAGCATACTAGAATTCCCATTATCATGAATTATTTAGACTCAACTGTACATTTATTTTATATTATGTCCAAATGTTCAGAAAATTCAGAGTTATTAGAAAATTTTTAGACAGAAAGTTATCATAAATATGATCAGTTGGTTATTGATTACTAAATAATAAATAAATGTATGCATATTGCATAAACATCCATTCAACTTTATCCACCTGCACTGAGTATACTAAATACAACTGTGTGCAGACTGAGGAATGATTTATAAGAATATACAAGCTTCTCCTTTGGTAACTATCCATTGCCCCCTGTTTTAACGTACCTTTCTAGGTGTGGTTTTGTCTGTCTTGTCATACACTGCGATCCCTTTATAGCTTAGTCCCAGCCACCATGGGTGGTCTTTCTTATCCTGAAATCAAAATATCAAGACATTTAATGCAGATGGACAGCCATTATAGATACATAGGAAATCTGACCACAAGAATTAGGAGTGGTCTCCCTTGTTCTGTTGGACAGATACACATATAATTGGGTGGTTCTTCTGTTTTACATACCCCATCCAAACACAGCTGAATAATTTACCACTTGTATACATAGCAGAATTCCATAAAAAGAATTCTTTCACTGAGAATGGATGTACACTTAACTCTACATCCACAACATAATGCCACTCATGGAAAGTGAAAACTATTCACATCTATCAGTCTAACAAGTCAGAACTACTGGTGAAGAAAAACAGGAAGTGATGGGGTCATTCTCAGTGATCCCCCACAAACAGAGATCTCCCCCCATTTCTAGTGAAGATAAGACCCTTGTTTCTCTTGATCAGGTGTCTGTGTGTAGTATTCTATGTGTCAGGTGTTTATCTGTGTTGGATCATTATCATCAGTATCTCGCTGTCTGATTACAGAGAGCCACTATATCATTAGAGTTCTACCCCTGTATCATTCTATCTCGAGCGAGATGCTATATGTATCTCAATTTAAACACACATCTTCTGACATTAAATAACATCTATTGATAAATTTTACTTAGATTTTAATCTAAATTTTAAAAAACAATTTACCTTAACTTCATAGTAATGGGTTCCGTAAGTTGGCAAACTTTCAACAATACTGAGATAACTGCAATGAAAGAAAAAGTTAAATTGTTTTTAAATGTTTAATTTAACTGATATGACAGATATTGCATGCATAAAAAAATATTTCTAATAGTTTAAAATGTATATATATATGAGAAATATATCCATAAATACATTGTTTATTAGAATATTGCCATACGTGCTACCTGCTATACATACCCTCATAAACCCAGAAAATTGACAGTAATTCCTAATTAAATCATGAAACGCTAAAGAAAAAATCTAAGATTTATGTGAAGGTAACAAAAATTCTCTTCCAGAACCCACACATTTTATTTGAGAAAAATTTTACGAAAAATTTTTTACATAGCATTTTTAAAAAATTCTCTTAACTTCCATTGAGTAGTTCTTTGTGAAATATGCTGAATTGCACGTGTCTTGAAAGATATTTACAATGCCCACTTCACATAAAATATATGTATCTCCTTATATCCATCAAGTTAAATCTACTTCAAATGAGCAGTATTTCTGAGTAACAGCCACTCCAAATGCAAGCCTTGTCTAGTCAGTTCATGTACAAATGCATGCTCTGTTTTGGGGTTGCACAAAAGCAGGTCAAATACATGTACTTACAAGCTTAAGAGGTTCAAAATTCCATTGAAATAACCATACATACATGTTATTAAAGAACAATACTGAATGAGTTTTGTAAATTTTTCCTCCCTCACATTGATTTAGCCTTCACATTTGCACATATCTTATAGCTAAAGCAAGAATATAAAAAAAATTTACAGCCCCCTTCCCACCCCCAAAAAAAACAAATTGCAGTTTGACTTACTTTACAATAGCGAGTCCTCTCGTTGATCCGGCAATTTTCTGATAATAGGATATCACTCTATCTTCACTGAAAAGGCAAAAGTACACAATTAATACAAATAATTAATATCTTAATTAAGATACCAATTGATTCGGCAATGATCATTATGACATAAAAGTGATGTCACACCAGAATTCCTGTATGTATTTATGAAACAGTGGGACACAAAAATGCACACCTATTCTATCTACAGCTATTTCATCATAACCTCTCTGAATAATAGAAAATAAAACATAGTGGCTTAATAATTGAAGAAAAAAGACAGTGAAATAAAGGATACGAAAAACACCTATTTCTCGACAGTGAAAAATGAACAATGCAGGGTGTCCTATCGGCAAACAATAACATACGAGTGTAGATAAAAATCCTTGAGAGCAGTGGCCCGAGTTAATAAGCAGGTAGCGGGAATCCTAAAGTAGAAAGATTCCTCAAGTTACAATAAAGTAAACAGTTCACAATAGTGACAGATTAATGGTGGATAAACAAAATGGACATATTATTTAGGGGGGCTGTTTTGACAAACTGTCCCAACATTGAAATCCACTTTATAAAATAAATGGGACAGAATTAAAATATCCCACTAGCCCAATACTTGCCAAAAAAGACCAGTCTGTCACACCTTAATTCTTTTTAATAGAGACACCTTCATTCCATACATTGATTGGAAATAGAAATAATCTTAATCTGAAAGACATCTTGGTTCAATTACTGTAGTTCCCTTATAAGCAGATTAGAGACATAAAATGTGTACACAAGTCTATACCTTACACAAACAAAGAGAAGCCCCAAGTTGTACTGACTTCAAACAATAACAGCTTTTAACCATATGTCTTTGTTTTTTTTTTTAAATTCTACTTCAAACACATAGCTCATAAACGGACAAAAACATTTCTTACTTTAACTTACCGACTGAACCTAGCCAGAGTCCAATTGAAAATGGTCAGAGGAAAAATTATCCAGAACAAAATTATGTAAATTCACCTCTTTATCCTTGCAGAGAAAATTACAAATTTACATACAAATTATGTCTGTATTGGGACAATTTCAGACAAGTAACAGATTACAGGTCGGTATCTTTTGATCAGAGCTCGTCATTATACCTGCCGATACCGAAGGAATGTGATTAAAACGCATGATCTGCCGCCCAGGGATGCCCCAGGGCGGGAGAGATTGTTCTTGCATGAGACACTTACCTGTCTCGGATTTCAACACATTTAGCCCAAATCTACAGTAACTGATAAATGCTCCAAACAAAAGGTTACGAGACACAGATCACAGTGTATGATAAAATCGTAACAATTACAACTTTCTTTTTTTCTCCTCTTTACATAAGTTTAACACTTGACTTATTTCAGCCCAGTCATTTCAGGTCCTTATTTTCTTTTTCAAATGAATTCACCTCTCATAGACAGGTTCCAAATAGCTAATAAGAAGAGTTCTTACAAACATCCAATGTTCACCCAAACTTCACTAGCTCGACCTGCAGGTTCCCTTTGATTCTCCAGATAGTCAGGAGGAAAATCAGCAGATCTTTCTTAAAGATAGCCCCCAAATCATGAGCCCCTGCTCTAAACTGATAATTGAAATTCTCAACTTCATCTCTGAAAATGTTTTTTTTTTTTCAAGAACACATTCAAGAAATTTTCATCACATGTGCAAACTTCTGAGAGGTGATGTGTGGTTTTCCAATTATAACCCCTGACATTTCTTTTGAACCTAATCTTACCTAACTATCTGCCCTCACCTCCATTAAAACAGTAAGTATGACACTGAAGGAAATTAAGGAGCACCTGCCTGCCTTCCAAAGATTACACAGGAACATATAGAAATCCTAGTTTCCTGCTCTAGCTGCTGAAGTTTACAGAAGTTCTCTCATCCCCCAGGGCTGATTTCTATATAATGTTTCAGTTAAAACTCACGTCCTAGACATTCCAGTTTTAATATAAATGTAAGCAATTTTCCAAAGAAATGTAGCAAAGTTTTCTAAAGCATGTAGATTCATGAATTTTTTGAAGATCCTTTGAGTATTAAAAATGAACTGCAGCTGCGAATATTGAGACAAGTATACATTGAAATTCTGACAAATAACTAACATTTTTAAGCACTCTGCAAGAACTGGGAAAGGAAGGGAGGATTCAAGTGACCTAGTATATCCAGAGATTTGTTCTGCATAAAAATTACCATCACCACCATTGAAAATGTCATGAATTTAAACATCATTACATTTTAAGTGCAGTCAACTTGTGAGATGAGGGTAAATTCTGAGTTTGAATTTCAAACATTTCATTTGCAACAGAGAAGTTTCCCAGCCTCCCACTTGGAGAGAGATTTTTATTATTTTATCTAGAAAGCTGTGAATCTTATCTTTATAATGCTACATTTTTAGTGGAAAATCCTATATCTGATAACACTAGATGTAAATATTATTCAATGGGCTGTTTTTCTTTTCCTCCAAAATTGCCAGCTACTGCAAGCAGAGTTTTAATTTTTTTTTTCTCCTTTTTTTTTTTTTTAATTTTGCACTGAAAAGAAAAGGGAAATGACACGTACTAGATAAAGCTGAACTCTATACACTTACATTTCATTGTTTGGAAAATTTATGTCAAATATGCACTGAAGCAAATTTTAATATTTCAAGCCAATCATAATGAAGTGAAGTCATGAAACCTTAGTTAATTTAATCTAATTACAAGGAAATTAATGTAAAATTCCTGGAAAACAAGGACTCTAGATCTATGTTCCGATTTGTATACATGCTATTTTTACAGTATGTCTATTATATTGCCATTGGGGCTTCCTATCACACACCAGGTTACACTAATTAACCAAATGAACCATAAAAATCAGTCATCAATCCAAATCAATAAGTGATGAAAATGTCACAGCTCAATACCACCAAGTCTTCTTGCTCTGGGTTAATTAGAACACATGCCATTACCACCCCCTGCAGGGGGGACATAGAGCCACTTATCAGATATCTGTGACCAGGTAAACATAACCAGCAGGGGGGCATGACTGTCCCACCCTCCTATTATATCCCATTTCCTTTGTAGTAAAGGTAGATGTGTTTCACATTAACTTTTCCCATGGTTTATCCCTTTTACACACAAAGGCATAAAATCATAGTAACACGTACATACCATGTACATCCATGAGAATGTTCTCTATAAAACAATGCAGAATTATCAGTTTTACAATACCTTGAATAAATACACTTTAAGATTCACCAACAGTTTACTTCTTCTCAAACCGCACCCCAAACTTGACACTCCGAAATAAAATTGAAAAGCATCTTGCAACAGATCTGAAACATGTGAGCTTGTAAATTTCTTCAAGCAAAAGAGAGACTGCTGTTGAAATTCACAACATAATATCTGATTATTCTGCCTCATCTATGACACATCAATTAATGCAGCACCAAAAATTGATTTTTCCTCCAGAAATTCTGCAGAAATTAGCAAACAGTGGTCTTGACAAGAAAAGGAAGAAGCATTATGCTTTTCCTGTTCTTGCAGCTCAACATAACACCATTACTAAAGTCCAAATCAATATTTACTACCCTGACCTTGAAAATTCTCCCCATTTTCTCTCCCACAGAACTGGTATGGATGCATCCTTTTGTCAATTTACAACATGCAGATTAGCTACGCACCATCCATAACACTGTATTCCAAATTGTTAATTGCTCTTAAAACTGCATCACAATTTCCCTTTTTTACCAATCTCCCTGCTAAACAACTTTCTGTGATCGATGATGGGGAAGCTTTGCAATGCACAGAAAACAATTAAGTTTTCACACAAAACAGTAAACTCACTGGCCAAAGATAACAAAATTAAGATGTTTTTTGACTTCAATCCAAGATACTTACAAGAACTCACAAATTTTAGTATCAACTTTTATCCTACTAGGCATCACGGCCATGTCATATAATGGTAATTTTTGCATGTGCACACTTCTTTTTGGAGTTTTGCAATAAGGCAAAATTGTACCATATTTACTAATTCCCTACACCTCTCTTACGTCAGATTTTATAATTTGAATTTGGGAAGAAAAAAAAAATTAAAATCTTAAATCTTAGATACAAAATTTCAGGATCCTATTTTTTAATTTAAAAAGTCCAACATCAGATGATACAACTCAGTTTTAGATGATCATTACATGTGTATTACACAATGTAAGTATTTCATGGCACTGTTTCCTAACAAAGCATGTATCGGTACCTCAGATCTCAGTGCTACTTACCAATACTGTATAGAGGGGTGCTCCCTGAGAATATACGTAGGTATCACTGGTAATTTCTTGAGGTCTTGCCTGGCATTTTCATCACTACAAACAAACAAAATAAATAAGTGACCACTTTCACTAACCATATGAACAAATTATTTAAAAAAAAAAAGAAAGAAAGAAAAACTATATTACATTAAAATTTAAAACAACGCTTCCTTGCCTGCTGCTATTTTTAAGACACAAACTTTAATTAGTCATTCACTGACTTTTTTGTGGGGGATATATAGGTCACCACTGGCAGGGCAAAGTAGCATGTTCCCCATTTCCTGCTGCTAATTTTTATAGAAATAATCAACTATCTTCTTACCCCTAGATTAAGTTTGTTTGATTGAGACTCAAATGTCAGATTTTATGATTAAAACTCTTTGAAAAAAGATCTTAAAAGTTTATCAACGTAAATAAAGTCATATCAGCAACAATTCTCAAAATACATGGAATTCTGTTCCTTTTTTTAAGGTCTTCCGTTTCCAACGGAAGACCTTCTACTGATTCTGATGGTTAAGATTATTCTTATTATTCTTTTTTTTTTTTTCCTAGACGCCAACTTTGAAGCTTCATATCTTCCTCATTTCTGAACGGATTTTATTCAAATTTTCAGAGCTTTTAGACTTTGCAAAACACTCTCAGAATACTGTAATACAATTCGGAAATTACCTTCTGTTCACGAGTTATTCCCCTTTGATTGAAATTTTTATGCCTCTGGTTTCCAGACAAAGGCTCTGAGACTGTAATAATTGGAGCACAAAACCCTTTGAAATTGAAAAGAAGAAGCATTGAAGTTGTGCACATCGGTTTTTGTTTTTTGATTTTTGCATTAAAAATGGCGCTAGAGAGGGGTCAAAAGTTAGAACGCGGAAAAGAGCAAAAATTTTGACATATTTTCCTTTATATCTTTAAAACTAAAAATATTTTGTTAAAACATGTAGAATAAAAGTTGTGCATAATAGCAAGAGCTTTCATTTGATATCATTTAAAAGGGGCTGGCCCCTAAAATTAGGGATCTAGAGCCTTTGAAATTTTTCGCTTTATAACTCAAAAACGGTAAATATTTCGATATGGCTTTCGGAATTAAAGTTGTTCTTTAACACCTTATTGATCTCATACAAATGTTGTTTTGTTCGAGTATTGCGTAATATGTAGGTAAAAAGCAGGTCCCGTAAACAGGTAAGCGTTTTCATTCGGCAAGTAAATCGGAACTCTTCATGTGTATAACTTTAACAAACTTGCAATAAATTATATACCCTACTGTATTTAATGCTAATTTTCTTCTAAATAAGGTTTTAAACGTGTTCTGTGGTTCACTCATAAATTATTCTTTACAACTTTCTTTTCTTTTTTAATTTAGATTTAAAGGGAACACGTCTTCAAATAAAGGAAGGAATTAAATGTATCTATATAACTATATAAGTAATATTAAACTTTAAGCATCGAATAATTAATGATCATTAACAGTACGCATTTCTCCATGTTCACCTAAATGTTTTTAGTTATGTAACACAACCCGCGATCCCACGTTGCCGAGGTCACCATCGACCAGCCACCTGCGGTCATAAACCATGTAAACAAAACAAATATCTGTGAAGACTGTGATCACGTTTTAAATCCATCGTGTAGAAACAACAACTAATGAAACATTGTGTTTTTTAAATTTATATTGAATCTTTAAGATAACTTAATCTCATCTTTGATTTAATCTTAATTTCAAACACTAGTGCATAAAATCATTTCGAATTTTAATCGCTTTTACCGGCCTGTTCACTGTCGACACAGCAATACGATTAAAAAAAAAAAAAAAAAAAAAAAAAAAAAAACAATTTATTTCTCTGTCCCGTGTAATTGCATCTTTGATTTAGTCTTAATTTCAAACACTAGTGCATAAAATCATTTCGAATTTTAATCGCTTTTACCGGCCTGTTCACTGTCGACACAGAAATACGATTTAAAAAAACAAACAAACAATTTATTTCTCTGTCCCGTGTAATTGTATTCTATTCCAATTGTAATTGAAAAGGTGCTAAGGCAAATGATTGCAATTAGGGATGGAGTATTAAGTATTAATACTTGTGTAAAGTATAATTTTTACTATCAGTCTCTTAATTGTTTCTTCATTTAATTTTTCATTAAATATTAAACTATATACATCAAATAATACATTTAAACATACAATAATTCACGCCTTCTTACAGCACAGTTTACATTCTGCTCTGTCGCTTTGTAACCCAGTCTTCGTGCACACGTGGCCGCAGAGAGCCGGGGTCATATCGGTATTAAAATACATTGTGTACTCATAGCGATTAATGGAAAATTGGGTTTGAAATCATTTCGAATCTTACATATTATTTTATTTTACTCTATCTCACGCTTATTTTTATCAATCCTTACCGCCCGTGCATTTATTCATTTCAAGTTTTCCGCATTTTAATTGCCAACTTAACCATTAAGTTTGCAACAATTTATTTTTCTGTCTCGTGTTTTAAACTGCATGTACACATGCATGATAATTGTAAGTGGAGGTGACTTTTTCAATTCTCGGCATCCTCACATGTGATTTCGGAACCTTAATTGACATTGTGAGGATGAATTCTCGGGAAAATCGAAAAGTTTTACGGATACATGCATACATACATACATGCATGCAAGTACAGAACATCCTCTTTTTATAAGCACGATCATGAATTCGAATGTACAAGTGTACATGTATATGCAAGAGCGCCCCAAATGTACGCATATCGAGTGTTTAAAATACAGAGAAATACAAAATCCCCGGTCTCTGTTTTACATTATCTTTGCAACAAAATATTGGTTAATCTGAAATCAATTTTATTGATCTATAGCTTATTTTGAAGTAAATTATCGGTCCACTGAGATGATAATGAGTTGTTTTTATAACGAGTACATTTAGAGTATTCCGAATCACTTTTTACATTTTGACGGTAAACGATTTTATTAACAAGTTTATAAATGGTTGGTTGGTATTAAAGGAAAGCCAATTCAATGAGAAATCAAATCTACATTACACGGCGAGTCTATCTACGATACAGCGGCCTTGACAGGGGTTATATTTACATCACCTTTTTAGTGTATTGCAGGTCACTTCCGGGTATTTCGAATCACCAGGTAAATGGCTAAAAACAGTCAGATAACAACATTATAATTAATGAATTACAGGTAAACTTCGGTATCTCGACATCGGATATGTCGACAACCTGGGATATGTCGACATCCTTCCGCGGTCCCGGCAGTATTTACTATATAAATGATTTGCAAAAACTCTGATATGTCAACCTCGGTAATGTCGACAACCCGGGTTATCTCGACGTATATTCACAGTCCCAAGAGCAAAATTTACCTGTCATATGTCGACATCGGCAATTTTCTGCTCTACTGAACCTAACTGTTTGTCAGATAGGGTCGCTCGTCACGCTCGGACGACTCCGAGCATCTCGACGTCGTCAAAGTTTCACACCTTTCACACCCATGTTTTGACTGCATGCTGCTTAATTAATTTTATAGACTGTATTTGTAGGTGAATCCCAAGCCCCTTCGGCGTCTTTGAGAAGTTAATTGAGCTTGGGTAATATCATTGCTAAATCTACACGATTCTGCGTCAATGTACAGAATGTTATTTATATCGAAACGTAACATAACTTTTAAATTTGAAAAAAATTTGAAAAAAAAAGATAACTAAATTACAATGAATAACAAACACACTGAAAAATTCAAACTAAGGAATTAAAAAAAAATGTTTTAATGATATTTTGAAGTTAAAATGTATTCAACAGGAAACAATCCAATTAACGACACGATTGACCGAATCAGCCGTAATTCGTGCATCTGTAACATCACTACGCTAGTTTAGATACACAAATCTCTTAAAAAAATTTATTTTAATGTACATTCTTCCTGAATGAAATAAGACAAAAATAATCCACATTTAATTTTTTTACCGTATATCGGATGTCGACTTTATACGGTTCGAAGTTTATAGAGCGCAATTCGTATCCTGTTCTGACGAAAAGGCAAGTTACACGCGAATGCAGCTCAATGCTGTAACTTTGTGCTGAAACTTTGTGAATTTAGAAAGATTTCGATTAAGAACACGTTTTATAAACAAGATTTTTAAAATAATATCTTAGATTTTTAATAAAAATAGAGGGAATTCTGAAATATGTTGAGCTACAGTCGATATTAAAGTCATGTACATATAATAAGCTTGTCTGCTTTGCTATGCTGTGAAATCTTGGACGTCAAGTATCAACTCTGATATCTCGACACCTCGGATATCTCGACATTTTCCGATGGTCCCGTCGATGTCGAGATAACGAAGTTTACCTGTAGTTGGTATTGTTTACCAAAAGTATCAAAAAATAAAAAGAATTATTTTCTTGTTGAATGTTGTTGGTTTTTTTATTAAGTTATTAAAGCCCCCCCCCCCCCCCTTCTGTAGACACACTATAAAACAGCGTTCTCAGAGGCGGATCATGCAGAAAAGCAAATACCAACATAATATTTACTTTCTGAAATTACCTGATTGTAAATTGTTGTCCTGTAAATATAATCATGATGATTATGTAATTTTTTTTTTACCTATGTGATTTTTTTAATGCAAATAATTAACATTGAACTGTCATAATTCTACGAGTAGGCTACCAAATAATGATATAATGATGATAAAAAAAATTGTGAAAAGGAATTAAACCAACTCATGTTTAGATTTCATGATTATCAAGAATGACGTATATCACTGCATACGTGTACTCGTACATATCAACATTGATCAACACTGATCAAGTGTATACCGGGACCCGGGATAGTCTTATTATAGCTCTTGCTTTGTCAAATCATTACTTTCATACCCCTTGCATTTAAGAAAAACAATGTTATAAAAAAAAATAATAATCTGACATATACATGTAGCGTGTGCAATTTATTTGGCTAGGGGCATGTACACACGTGGTTCGAAACTATAGGGGGCTACAAATGCGGCCATAACTAGTATATTTTTGAGGTGTTATAAAAAAACAAATAATACTCACAAA